ATACTGGGTTCTGCTCGCTCTAGGGACTCGCTTTTTAACAGGCTTTATCAAAGTCGGCAGACATTCGTTCCGCTTGGGTAATGTTTGATGTTATAAGAACGATGCGATCAGCAAAGCAAAGATGGTGTAATTGCCGACCATCGATTTTCACTCCCATATTATCCCATTCCAATGTTCGATTGTTCTTGAGCGTGGCGGTAAATAATTTTGGCGAGATGCTATCACCTTGCCTAACCCTTCTATTGACGTCGATGTTGACATCGTTGTAGAATGGTGATATCATCGTTATGGAATTTTTATATAGCTCACGATTGTCCGGGGCATGTGTGACTGCTTCTACCTCAACTGAGTCAAAAGCTTTCTTCAAATCGATGAAAATGAGAAAGAGCGGTCTTTTGTACTCTAGCGATGTTTCGGTGAGTCTTGTTAAGGTGTGAATGTGGTTGATCGTACTGAATCCTTCCCGTCACACTGGTTGCTCACTGCTGCGACCAGTGATCTGTCATTCTGTTTAGGATGACTTGACTGAAACGCCTGTAGACAAAAGACAGCAAGCAGATTGCGCGATAGTTGCCGATATCATGGAGGTCACCGATCTCGAACAAGAACACAGTCTTTCTGTTCGTGGTTATCGTGTGGATGTGATCCATTGTACTGGTTCATTTTCTAAACCGTGCCTGTTCACATGGCTGTCCTACGTCCGGTGTTCTACCAATGCTGTTTAGGATGGCTCGAGTGAAAAGTTTGCAGACGAGAGACAGCGAGCAGATTGAGCGATAGTTGCTGATATCGTGGTCACCGTTCTTGAACAATAACACGGTCTTGCTGGCCTTCCACTGACTGTGGACCTCGCATTCAGAAAGGCAACGTGTGAACAGCCGAGTCAGTGTGTTTACAAGGACTGGTGGAAGGTTCTTCAAGTGTTCAGATCTTATCCTGCCCTGACCTGGTACTGTTCGATTTTTCACCGACAAAATGATATGTAGGATTTCGGAAAGGAGAACCGGTGATACAACGTATCCATCCTCCTTTATTTCATATGGCGGGAGGTGGACGTAGCTACTAAAGGGATTGGAGCCGTAATCGTGAATGATTTTCCCTACTATCTTTCTGGAAGTTGTTAGTGTATGGTCTGCTGGTCGGAGTGCAATCATCTTGGTTCTATAATTGGCGAACCTTCGGTAGGCTTTGCAAATGCTTTCCCCAGCCTCTGCAGCCTCCACCATAAATGATCCTTTTCCTCTTAAAGGTCTTCTCTTGTCGCATATATGCATTGTTTTTCAAGTTCGGAAGTGAACTAGCGGTTGCACGCAGTTTGTATATTTCACGCTTGCGTACCAGCTCGAATGTTTTTGGAGACAGACGTTTCTTGGTGACCTCTCAGCTTTAATAGTGTTGAATGAACCGGTCGTATTCCTCAACGATATCATCAAGAACAACATCTTCTGACGGGCTTACTAATAAATTGAATAAATCTCATTGATGCTGAGATATTTGCAAAACTCCGGACCGCAGATGTCTGCGGTGGGGAACGAACACTCTATTGTCCTTTCCGGGGAGAAACGCATTTACCACCACACCTTGCCGGTCCTTCGTTTCGCCTGCCTCCCAACTAGTTCTATCACTCAGTGCCATCAGCAACCACTCGTCGGCAAGGAGCCTGGTTAAAAAGAGACTGTAGTTATAATCACAATTTTAACTTATTATTTAGTGCCTACCCTTTTTAATGGCAGCGTATTTTGCTTATTTTATGCGCTTTCGCTATATCATTAAACAGTAGCACAAATAGTACTATTTCTGACAGGGGCGCGTATGGCGCAGTGGTCGTAGGCGCCCGGCAACACAAACGTAGAATCGATCGCCGCGCCCATGGCATACCAAGCCGCCCATCTCTCCTGGGTAGGCAAATTTGTACCAAACTTATCTGAGAAGACAGCAGCACTGGCTCGACATATCGGTAGTCTACCGCGGGTCATATGCATTCAATCACCTCCAAACGATACTTAATGAAGCCCAATTCATGGCGCAACCCCAGGGGATTGATCAACACCGAGAGCTTTATTCTTTTATCCTTTTTGTTGCGAAATATAACTTCATTGATGCTGAGATTAACTCAGACAACTGCTCACTTTACTCCTTCCATGCGAATCCGTAGATCCAAATTTGACGTTCTTTAGACATTCGTCTGGGTCCTATCTTAGTGTTAACATCTGCAATGATGACCTTAAAAATATAAGCCCATCTCTGTAGAACTTCTCCAAGTCCATATAGAACGCTTCGACATCGTCTCTTTGTCATAACTTGATATCGGTAGGTAAACGACGAAGATTGTCAAAGCCGGTATTGATCCACATCTCTTCAATCGTAAACTTCCGATTCGAGTTGCTAGTTGTTCAAATGAATCGAAGTTCTTGGTTAAACCCGTGTGGACGAGAACGTCGGCTCCACCGACTCCTCTACTTTCCCATGTTTTGAGGGACAGTTCTCCGGTGCCACGGACTTCGCTCAATCGGTGGCGTCGACATAAAGCTCACAGTTTCCTGCTGCTTGATGTTTCTGTATGTTCACCTGATATCCGATTGAGAGAAATTTGAAGTAGTGCCAGTTTTTCACAGTTTTATTTTGCAGGTCAGTTTATTTATTGTGGTTTTAGTGCTTTGGTGAAATTTAGTTGCAGTTACCATTATTATTTCTTTATAATCATAAGTATTAGGAAGCGGATAGCACAGTGGCAGTGTGACGTCGATCATCACGAGCATGGTTCGATTCGGCTTCTGGCCAACCAAGCCTCTCACCCCTCCGGGGCGGGAAATAGGTACCAGAATAGCTCTCCCAAAAAAAAATCACTCTCGTCAATCCATTTGGAAACGCTCCAGCCTGGCTATTCCAAAACACCTATGAGAATCAACTCCACCATCATTCTACGACATTCAAGCTGAAATGGAAATTCCTCAAGCAGCAACCGAAGCCACACGTAAAAGTTGGAATACCATCGTGGACAATGGTTGTGAGGAAACGAACAGAATGTGGAAAGTACTGGGATTCGCATAATAGACATGAAGGCGGATCAAATAAAATAAATAAATAAAAGCAAACTTGAAGGCGAAGCATTTCATCAAGACACATGCACCATTAAGGCGATGGAGCATCGTCTCCCCCAGAAATCTGTGAAGTACTGAATTCACCTACCACTCGGTTTTCAGTTCAGATTTCATGTGCTGTCGAAAAACCAGCTTCTTGACGAATGTGTTAGTCACTGCTGGCTTATTTCAGGGATAGGCAGCGAAAAAAGAGCGGCGGAAATCGCGCGGACAATGAGGACTCTCAAGCCGACGGACGGTAGAATGTGGGCATTTCCTAGGATAGCAACTATTCCTAGAATAGTTTCTATTTCTTTCTATATCTATTTCTATCTTTCTATTGCTGTATGTTTCTGTAGTATGGATCATATCCAGTGTTCCTCAAGTTGCCTAGCAAATGTCCTAGTACGTAAATATTTTGATCCCACCCTAAGGAACTTCGATTGCCATAAACACTCTTGTTATACAAACATATTTTGCAACCTAAGCTTGTTGTTTGTTATTACTGTCCAAAAGTCATCATGCGTACAATGACAAGAAGGGCATGAGGACGTTTGCGAGAGCATTCTTCCTCCAGTTGATCTCTGACTTTGAGAGGATTTGGAAACGGTAGCCGACGAATTTTTTCGGTAAAGATGCTGGACCTGTGCCAAATATCGCCTTCTCCGGAAGCATATAAATAGCCTCGTGAATTACTATCCTGGTTCGCCCTTCTCCAGGTTCGCTCACTATCCAGGCTAGTTCCCTGTACTCGTTTGTCCCCCTGTTGATCTCGTGTGTCACCTATGCAGATTATCGTAGTTGTTAACTCATATTGCACGTAATTATATACCGTATATTAGCTCCACTCTACCGTTATTAAAGCACAGTCGCGAATTGTACATTAACTTCATTTCATTATTATTGAATGACAATTGCGAATTGTACGTTAACTTCACATTATTGTTACTACGTCACGCTTGCCATCACCCCAGTGTATCCCTATCATCATCCTCATCCTCGTGTCAGTGTTCATTGCTTATCAACTGATCTGCGGTGCGTTGTCAGTAGCGGCGACCATCCTCAAATGCGTTCTGTCTGTAACGCCATCGGTGGCATGTACCATTCCTCCCACACTGTGCGCCATGCGTACAAGGTCAGCCAACTTAAGCAATATATCTTATGCCGCTATAGTCGGCTATCAGTTCTCAGTTACATTATTTATGGTCCAAGTTATCTCTTATGGAATGGCGGTACCCATCGATGCTCAAACTTCACGTTGCAAACATATCGTTATCCAAGACCAGCCTCCTGACCGTGTTCCTCAGATGTCTCATCTCGTTCGTAGTCACTTCCACCATCTATGCTTAGGTAACTTTCTATCCTCATGGATCAATGTCAAAGTACATCTAACTGCTGTACATATGATCTCTAGCATTGCCTAATGCATGGCTCATCTGCATCCCACTCTTCTGCTGTTCTAGCCATCGGCATCTTGGCCACTGTATGCGCCAGTGTGGGTGCCATCATCCGCATCCCCTTAGTTGTCATTGTTATCAAGTTGCAATTGTCATTGTATTAATGTTATAATAGTATCCTAAACTGTTTTGGCCTTATTAGCTTCACTTCATTAGTAGTTATAGCGCTCCATAATCTTGGACTTGCCTTGCTATTATGCCAGTGTTTTCTATCGTTATACCTGTTATATTCGTGTTGCACTACCTAGTACGGTATGATACTTCTCGACAATCTCCTTCATATATTTCTCGTTTACTGTCGCCTTTATTTTTTGCATACTAGCTTCTAGAAAGGAAGAAAACAGGGTGAGAAAAGGACATTTGTAAGAAAAAAGAAGACAAATAGGAGCTAAAAATCGAGGAAGCATAAGTCTTAGATGAGCTTTATATTTTTGTCATATTACGTAATTCTTACACTTTTAGGCGAAAAATTTCAGCGGCTAAATTCTTAAAATACGAGAACCAACTAGGCCTCCCATTCGGTATCCTCGTCGACACCAACTTTGTGAATTTTGCTGTAAAAAATAGGTTAGTCGTAATTCAAGGATTCCGGGGCTGGGCTGTCTTTACGCTCACGGTACGATTTTTATCGTTTTCTATTGTTAGGTGTTCACCGTCGATGTTTTCATTTCAGCGATTCCTTATGTAACGGATTGTGTCATGGGAGAACTCGAAAAAGCCGGCCGTCGGTTCAAGATTGCGCTGAAGGTGGTAAAGAACATTAGATTCCAGCATTTGAGGTGTGACCACAAAGTGATATACGCGGACGAAAGCCTCGTTCAACAGGTTACTCCTTTCTGCTCCACCTTCTATATCCGGTTATTTATTACATAAGTTTTTCAAGTTCTTCGGAAGTTGAAGGATTAGAGGTGTGAAGTACTTGGGAATCAGTTAAGTCCGTAGAGACTTCGAATTTGATAAGAAAGTAAAAGGATAAAGCTCTCAGCGTTGATCAATCCCCGAGGGATGTGTCATGCATTCGACTTCATTAAGTATCGTTTGGAGGTAACTGAATGCATATCTGGCCTTTACATTGACTAGCACTGGCCTACCGATGTATCGAGCCAGTGCTGCTATCCTCCCAGAAAACTGTGGTACCAATTTGCTCCCCAGATGGATGGAAGACTTGGTGGGGCACGGGCACGGGTAATGATCCCATGTGTGTTGTAGGGCTCCTCCAACCACTGCGCCACACGCACCGTTAAGCGTAGTGAGTAACCTCGTGAAATGCGGTAGTTTGAGTCAGTTGTTAGTACTGAATAATAATTGCTTCGAGATAGAGTGTTCGACTTCGTGCGAATTTTCCACCTGGGCCCTTCTATTGTTATCATAGAGCACACCTCAAACATAGGTAATTAGGTCGTTCTCCGCACCCATGACCCACCAAGCCTTTAATTATCTATGTTTGAGGTTTGCTCTGAGATAGCAACAGAAGGACCCACGTGGCAAATTCGTACGAAGTCGAGCATTCTATCTCGAAGCAATGATTATTCAATACTGACAACTGACTCAAGCTACCACATTTCACGGGGCTACTCACTACGCTTTTGAGGGCGCGTGTGACGCAGTGGTCGGAGGCGCCCGACCAACACACATGGAAGCATTCATAGCAATAATAATAAATTAATAACAACTATATGACAATAAATACCAAGGAATTCAAGCAATATAAGCTCCAAGACGACAGCAAAATCAACGATCAGAGCTAAACCAGTGAGCGAGAAGTTACATTGAAGGTAAGGGAGCATTTATTGCAATAGACAGGTGATTAAATATGAGAATGAAGTTCCATATAGAACACAATTCAACCAAGAATACTAAGGAACCAATGACGACGTGAGAGGAGATGAACCAAATGGTTATCAGTGGAGATATCTTATGTAATAACCTGGAGGAGTAAGTAATACGACGAATAACTGTAACAAAGCAGTAAAAAATAACTGAGACATCGGTGATTGAAGCAAAAAGGGCATAACTTACAGCTGAGATTAAGATTCTCAAGATCGACTTTCTATTAACCTCGACATTGAATTATAAATCTGTCGCCTTCTTTTTCAGCAATCGCGAGGTTGTTATTCAGCACATGTTTACTTCCATACACATAGAACACATTCAATACGGTAGCTGACGTTTCGACAGTATCGCCTTATTCAGAGCCTGGAAGGGTACACTAATATGCAACTTGATAGGTCAAACGCCTCAACAGCGCAAACAGAAAGATGAAAATCTGAACGATAATTACAAGATGATGAGGTTAAAGTTGATTATGTTTGTGAAGAGCACGGAACTCGAATTCCACTAGGTGAAATCAGAAGGCAAGATGGTCGGTATAGGTGGCGGAATGTTAGTAGAGGAAACTAGAGTTGATTCCCAAAGGAGGATTCTAAAGTTTCTCAGTTAGTACTGTCTAACAGAGCTGCTTCAAAGCGTAACACGGTACACGAGGAAAAGTATATCAGTCAATACACTGTACAAAAGGTTAGTTAACATAAAGGTTCATCAGACATTTAGTGAATAGCACGTACAGAGAGTCCGTTTGGAAGCAATACAGTAACTAGTACAGAAAGTTTATGTGAATCTGATTGAGAAATTTGGGCTTCTCAGATCAATACCGCCGACGAGTGATTGCTGATGGCACCGTTAGTCTGAAAACTAGCTGAAAGGAAGGCAAAGCAAGGGCTTCAGTGGTGCAGTGTGTAAAACCTAAGCTCCAGGAAAGTGGCGGTTCGATCTGGTCTGAGGTCCAAGTCTTGTAAATATCTTAGTATTACAGTGGTGATATTGGTGTCGTTACATAAAATACGTTCAGGTTCTAAAAAAGCGAAGGCGCCCGAAACGTCAGCCATCCAGTCACGGCAGCAGCCACAACAACAGCAACAACTGACACCAACCTCGCGTTAGCTCAACATGCGCAATTCGTAAGAATAAATATGCATATGCTGAATAAATATTGCTGTTAGCAAGTTCGTGTCTGTTCATCAAGAAGACTGAATTAAAGAGACAGTGAAAGGGAAATTCACAGTTTTTTAAACGTTCTATACAAAATCTTTACTAAACAACCTAGTGAGCGACGAAATATTTTATTTCGTCGTTCACCCGATTCCTTTGTTAGAAATTCGTAAACCGTCGTTATCCTCGCTTTTGATAATGAACTACTTGCATTTTTGTTGAGTAAAACGTTCAGAGTGGATATGAGATAAAAGGCGATATCGTTAGCTCGGACACTGCCAGAAGTCCCAGTGACTTTGGAATCCAAAGGTTCCGGGAGGGCTGTCTGGCCTGGTGGCATCGACCAGCTTTAAACCTCGGCTTGCACGTATTGATTCGCCCAAAAATTAGCAGCCAACATCGCCTGAGTTCATCAGCCAACGTCGTCGTTTTCAGTCGTAAAACTACGTGGTTCTTGACATTTCTATCCAAAAAACGTCTTCCCTAAGTGGGTACTACTCGTACAACTAACTGCCCGCATTTAACTCTATAGATATTAATGATTACCTTTACTGGTGGGAGTCTAACTCTCTTGCAAAGAAGAAATTGCATGTGCAGGCTTTCTGTAATCTACTCGTCCACCTTCACCTCAGATACCATTCTCAGTTTTCTGTTTTTCTGGGCAACCGGGTGGCAAACTCGTCTGGCCCAAATGCCCCTGCCAACAATCGTCTAGCGATCGCAGCCTTCAAAGCAGAGTTCAGAATCTTACAAATTCCGTTACTATATATCTTCATTTCTTGCCGTCTCTCATTCCTCCACTACATAAGTGTTTCTAGTTCTTCGATTTCGGTTACCTGATTTTGGCTGCTCTTTCTAGGCTTCAAATGTCTTCAAAACTTGTTTCAGACAAGGAAAAAACACATATGGGGAACAATGGAAGCTCGCTTTCCGATCTGAATCTCTTCTCAAAGGGTGCCGTTTTCAACCGGGAGCAATTGGACGAATATCAGGTAGACGTTGGTGCAGGTTTTCGTATATTTAATAATATTCCTACCATTAGAAGTTAGTACAACACCTCGTAATAATGCCCACTACTATGCGAATTTGAGGACTGTACGTTCTTCACAAAAAAGGATATCGTTCGTCTGTACAAGCGGTTCTACGCGCTGAATCCTCAAAAAGTGCCGACGAATATGCAAGGCACGAGGCCGTCGATCGTCACGCTCACATTCGAAGAAATCGAAAAGATGCCGGAACTGCGGGTGAGTGCAAGTGGAAGCCTTCAGTGTCTTGTCTTTGAACCCGCCACTATTTCTGGATGGTTAGCGACAATGAATAACTGTAAGTGCTATTACTTGTTCACGGACTAAATAGGAGGCTTTCCATGTTTCTCGACCAACATTCTCAGGAGCTTCATGGTGCGATCTTACGGATAAAGAACGAATGCTCCCTCCTGAGACGTTGGCTATGCTTTCTTGTCTTCAATTAAATGGGCCGCTTTTCTGAAAAACCATGTTCGCCCGCACATTTTCCCATTTAACTGATATTTTGCCGATTAGACATGCTTTCCCTGGAGTTCGAGAAAACAGTGCTACGCCTTCACCAGAACCTTACCAGGGAGAATCAATGACCGCATTTTGATTTTGACAGCGAGAATTCTCTGGAACTAGTACACTTTTAACCTTACTTCCTGATGGAATTATTGAATTTCTTTCCAATTTGCTGTTGAAAGTGAAGTGCTTCTGTACTATTGCGCAGAATTCAGCAACACTCTTAGCCCTGACGGCGAGGTAAGCCATCGTGGAGGGCAAAGTACATGAATCATCAGTTAAAGAATGGTGCTTCTTTAGCGTAAATCCCTTCATGAATAAGTTTGAGTCCAAGACTTCATGTTAGTGTTGTAGATATTCCATGTTAAATTAAGATCTTTAGAAAGTTCTGGTAATCTACTTATAGTCAATTTACTTGCGCAATACAATTACATAAATTAAAAGAGATAACACAACGGATAGTGTTGCATCAACTCGATATCGCAAGCGCAAAATTACTCGCATCATCCCAGTTCTTTTAGGAAAACCCATTCCGAAGGAGAATCTGTGAGGTGTTTTCGGAGGATGGCAGAGGGAACCTAACGTTCGACGACTTCCTGGACATGTTTTCTGTGTTCTCAGAAATGGCACCGCTTCAGCTGAAGCTCAAATATGCATTTAGAATTTACGGTGAGAATAAAATGATCTTCAAGCCTCATACATCAATTCTAAGTTGCGATAACATAGTTGTCCGATTCTTGGGAATATTTTTGTAGACTTCGATAACGACGATCTTCTGGGTCACGATGACCTAAGCAAAATGATTCGAAGCCTGACGAGAGATGAATTAACTGACGAGGAAGTCGAATTCATCATAGAAAGGGTGAGTGCACATCTGTCCATCTGCGTAGCAGTACATGATCAATAGTTCCCAGATTATCGAAGAAGCCGATCTCGACGGTGACGACCGCATCAACTATGCCGAATTTGAGCATGTCGTCTCACGATCTCCCGACTTCATCCGAACGTTTCACATAAGAATATGAACCTCCAAAAGTGATTGGAATTATGAGATGGGCAAACGTTTCATGTGAACTCCTAAGACATTGCAAATTTATTAAATGATTGACGAGTTCGTAAATGCTTAACAATGACATCGTAAATAATCTCAACTGAAACTGCGAATGTATTAAAAGTGTTTGTCTTTAAACAAAAAAAATCGCTATCACTGTACGACAATGGAGATCCACACTAAAAACAATGATCATTGTTGTTTTGACTTTACCCCTATACTTTCATATAGCGAAAGAGCCTGGGCAATCATAGAACTTGGTTCGCTGAGATTCGCGGGCAAAAGGACCGTATTCGAATCTTTGGCGAGCTTCTCAAATGCTGTGACGTACTGCTGTGCAACAGTGAGACTGGCAGCTTCATCTCCTCCCTGTAACCAGTGAGGAAAATGAAAAATTTTAAATTTGGCAAGCTTTGTGCCAGTGTGTGACATCTTATTTGAGTGTGTAAAGCATGTAGTCATCACTAGGTCTACGTATATGTACGAATTACATAAAATACTTACAAGATTGCATGATTGTAAACATAAAGCTGAAGGGGATACACTGTAACATATTATTTTAAAGTAAAACCGGAACCTTTTGACTGAGAGCTTTCGCAACTCTTTCGATAGCTTCTGCCTTAGCCTCGGCATTTATCCGAATGGCTTCAGCATAACCTCGTGCGACATTGATCTGTAGAAGATTCTAGTCCAGTGGTTTGATATGACCACAATATTTCAGTACTTCAAGACATTACCGAATTAATACCAAACGCTATGGAAGCGACATGCCTGTTCGGCTTCCTTTGCCTCAGAAGCTAAAATAACCGCTCTTTTATCTCCTTCTGCTCTATTTATTGCCGCTTCTCTATGGCCCTCAGATTCCAAAATTGCTGCGCGTTTCTTTCGCTCTGCTTCCACCTAAGATTTCTCTCATCAAACTGAGTATTCTGAGTGAAATAGAAAACAGCTATGTAAAAACTTTACTGTTGAAAAAACAATTATAAAAAGGACATTGTATAAGTTTCAACAAATCAAACCTGCATTTGCATAGCCTCCTGAATCTTCGTTGGCATATGCATGTCCCCTAAAAGTAAGGAGGTTACGTTACTATGATTTCATGTCCAAAAACTTCCTACTAAGATTCATTCATTGAGAAATGGGACGTAGATTAAATTCTCGGTGAAAAACTTCATAAATGGTGCGTAGAGATACGAAAGACAGTTTTTTAAAAGTTTATTTCTATAAAACCTGTCTTCACGCCTATTGTTCGGATCCTAGCACTTTTCACACTCGATTCGTTTCCTCGCATCCATTGTCCACGAAGATCTTCCAACTTTTACGTGTGGCTTCTGCTGCTATTTCATAATTTTTATTTCATTTTGAATGTTGTAGAACGCTGGTCGAGTCGATTCTCACTGGAGTTCTGAGATAGCCGGGATGGAGCGTTCCCAACTGGATTGCAGAAAGTGATCTTTCTCCGAACAAATCCGGTACCTATTTCACGACCCCGGAAGAATGAGAGGCTTGGTTGGCCCGAAGCGGAATCGAGCTAGTACCATGGTCGTGATAACCGACATCACTACCACTGTGCTATCCACTCCATGAAAGGTAATTAAGGAAATTAGATACGACAGTTAAGTAAAATAATAGACAGTTAAGATAGTTAAATAATTGTCAAAGATAAGTAAAATAGTTAAAGATAGTTAGGTGAAATAATTTACGAGTCATGAAACATACTGATCTCATAGCGCATGCACTTGATTCCCCAAGGTTCAGCTGCTTTGTTTATGGCTGTGACTATGTTTACATTCAGTTGTTCCCTCTCTCTGAAGACGGTATCGAGACTGATCTTTCCAACCTAAACAGACAACAGGTAATATGCAGAAACAACGCATAAACGTGTTAAACTGGATGAAAAATGTAGGATTAGGTCATTCAATATCGAACGCATGATTCAGCAAAACGTTTCTTGACCATATATAAACCTTCCCTTACAAACGTTTCGCATATCTTAAGAAGCACATCTCATACTCATTCTTTCGCGCCAATGTTTCTGCCCTGGTGCTAACACATCTCGACTTTAGGCTCATGTAATAGAAACCGAGGGAATAAATTAAACCTGAACAACTTCTAGCACACTTTCCTACCCTGATAGAAAGTCGCATAGATGGATCGTAACATCACCGATGTGTTTAGCTAAGAAACCGAAGTGATAGCGTAGAGCAAGTTTGCTTTCGAAAGTGTTCACGATTGAGATAAAATTGATGAGATAAAAGTAGAATTGAGAACTTCGAAAAATCGCTATCTTTTTTCGTTTTCCCAAGAAAAGAAACTCGACAAATAAGTGTCACATTAAGGTAACGAGCATAAAGATCGTTACGATGGTGTTCTACGTTTCTTTCATGCAACAAAAAAGGCTCTTTCCTTGATCGTGTTGTGATGCGCAACTACGAAACGGTCACAACTTCTTCGTGATCAGAAGAGAAAGTCACCGACCATAAAACTCGAATCCAGGCGAAGTCATCACAACATCGGAAGGGACCAGTTCTGTTGCAAGACAACGCGCGTCCTCATGCTCTACGTGATGTTTCAGAAGTTGAACGAGTTGCACTGTCTCTGAACAAACTCTGCTCACCCGCCTCAATAATCAGACCCATCGACAACAAACTACCACATCAAAAATTCCCATAATTCCCTTCATCAGAAAGAATGCACCGCCCGAGGTGACCACGGAGACGTTCGACAACCTTATCAAACCAAGAGATGTAAACTTTTATGTATATGGAAAAGCCAGGCTTCCAATAGATTGTCAAAAGAGTGGTGGTCTCAAAAAAAATGTGGTACGTTGAACACCGCTTTCAAAATACGGAACTTCACACTCATTAATATACTTACTTACTTGGATACTTGGAAGGCCCGTCCTTACTAATTATGCGGGCGCCAGCAAGATTTCCACTTTTCTGAGTTTCGCTTGTTTAGCCATTGTGGTTCCTTCGATTCCCAAGGTCAGCCTGGTCAAAGTCTGTCATAGGTCGTCACCACCGCAGGCAGTCGCCCCCTGTGGATCAGAGCTAGATTTGCTACAAAGAGACAAGTTTGATATCGGGACGGTGGCGGATCTTAGTACTGGTTCAGTCTTAGCTGGGCTTCTTTATTGAAACGCCGGCCTCGCTCTCAGCCTAGGAGACCCTGCTAGGGGAATGAATCCCTCCGCCGTACATCGCAGCCCGACATCCAGGAACAGCTCCCAGCCACGATGAGGGTAAACCGTTGGGAGGAATAGGAAACTTGATACCCACTAATGTACAACAAACCAAAATTGCCGGTGTGAAAAAAGAAAGCGACTAAGACAAGCACACAGGCACAAGTAATTACACCAAGCAACATATGTGAGACAAACAATTGAACTCACCTCGGACCGCATAGTAGTTTGAGCTAACTGAGTGACGGCGAACTCCGGATCATCGACGCCGTACGAAGCCTGACGGAACGGATCTCTATCGGTGGAGAAAAAGAAAGAGCAGATCGGTACTCCTTACCCTGTAAGGGTTAAAAACCTTCAAGTACAGCACTCCATCGAGCTGAAGTTGCACGTTATCCAGCGTTATCGCCCCTTGTTGGGGTATTTCAATAGCGATTTCTCGGAGACTTTGCACGAATCTTATCCTGTCTATGATTGGAATCAGCACATTAAAACCCTGAAAGCGTCCATTATTTACCAACACTTACATAGAAACCCATGCCTTGAAATTTAACAATGCTAGTTGTGAGGAAACATACCGGTTCGAGAATTTTGTAGAACTTTCCCATGCGTTCCACAACCCAGGCCTCTTGCTGTGGTACGAAATTAATGAACGTATTTCTGGCATGTGCTCGACGATTGCTGGAAAGTGCAAGGGCAGACCTGCAACGATGAAACTCAGACCGCTCATCACTTTATATAAAGCAACAAGAATGAAGAGAGTTACCTAGGAATCACATCTAGCACCCAAAGCGACCGCACCAAGGGTGAATGCATCGCCTCAAATGCTGACACCACGGAGTGAGTGGATTTCAGCCAACGACGCTCGATGAAAATAAGCTGCTGCCGAGGTATTCCACTTCTCGTCAGTCCATCTTGGTTTCCGCAATTGCGGACAAGAATACGACAGCGCTCCACCAGGGCCTCCAGGCTATGGACATTATCCACGTTTTCCGCTCGTTTGTTCTCTTTCTGAAGTACATTTCTTCATTCAGAATCCGTAACTATGGACGTGTCGACGGGTAGTAGTAAAGACGAGGTAGGTTTTTACGCGATTGTTCACTTGATATCATTCTCGAGAATCCAAAGGATTGGAGTCAAAGTCGATTTATTAGGTGTTCTACATGAGTGAAAGCGAATTCTGGGAAGAGATCAAAGATAAGTACGTACAAAGTATTGCTGACTTGGATCCGAATGAGGTATATCCCTCAAACAATCCAGGTAATTGCTCCGTGAGCTGTTTCTGGATTATTACATCTAGAATCATGCTTTAAGGCCCTACAAAACCGGATGGATCGATTAATTTCGAGTGTCACTGTGTAGGACACCTTGTCGCCAGTCCGTGTGGATACGAATTCAGGTGCCATAGCTATATACTTAAAAGGGCGCGTGTGGCGCAGTTGGTCGGAGGTGCCTTGCAATACACACATGGGATCGATCCCTGCGCCCCTGGCCCACCAAGCCTTCCATTCCTCCGGGGTCGGAAAATTGATATCAGACTTGTCAGAGTGGTTAGCAGTACTAGCTCATCGTAGATTACCGCGAGGCATTGTAAAAGGCCAGATATGCATTCAATCACCTCCAAACGATGCTTGATGAAGTCGAATGCATGGCGCATCCCTAAGGGATTGATCAACGCCGAGAGTTTTATTCTTTTATCCTTCAACTGCTCACTTATGGTTAACTGGACGCATGTGAGCTTTTCAGGGAAGCAGTCACCTGTCAGAAATCCTCTACGGAAGAGGAATTGGAGAAAGGAGCCTGTGCAGACGAACTCCTGGCGTTCATGGAGTGTGCAATACGCACGCAGTGCTTTAAAAGTACGGTTGTGATTGTCTCTATATGTTTGTTAAGGAGTTGGGACTTCAGACACTTTCAATCCGTTGCTTTTTCCTTATTCTTTGCTAGTGATTTTTATTACAGCGATTCCGAAAGAAGAAGAATCACCAGACTAAGGCACAAGTTAAGATCTTATCTAGTTAGCTGAATTATTTCTTATTTGATTTTCATGGATGTCTTAAAGTAACGAATAAACATCTCAACTTGCTAAAATCAACAATAAATGGGTCACCGTATAGTGAAGAAATGTCTCCTTTTATAGTGTTTCTAAGAAAACTACGGTTGATATACCTAGGCTATGAAATGGATGTTACAACCAAGAATGTGAATTGTCCCGAACAATCCTAAGACATCCATTCCGGGTTAGTAGTCGTTATTTCGTACCGTAAGCTTAAAATTTGATGACGCGATAGCGCACTGATACAAGTGCAAATCATCGCCAGCATCGTGCAGGTTCGACCCCATGCCGAGCTCACCAAGCCTCGCATCTCTTGGGGAACAAATTGTCACCACACTTGTCTGAGAAAAGTCCATTCTTCACAATCCAAGTGGAAATTCTATGGAGCAGCTATGGCAGGACTCCGAGGATAATCGACTCGACCAGCATTCAACGGCATCCATTACGGAAGGAAAATCCTAAAGCAGCAGCCGAACCGACTCCCAAAAAGTCGGAAAACCTTCGTGAGTGATGAATGCAAGGAAATGAATGGAACATGAGAAGTACTGGGATCAGTACAGTGCATGAGAAACAAGAGTCTTGCAAACCAGTCAAAATAACCTTAGAATTCAAGTACTTGGATACTTGGATGGCTCGTTCTCATTGGTCGTGCGTGCCCCCAGCAGAGTCTCCATTTGAACCGTTGGGAGGAGAATTTTAGTACTCCTAATTTTTTCCTGGTGTTAGGAACAACATTTGTAACTACGCTGCGGTTCAGACGATGTCAACCTCTCAACCTTGACTTTGACTGCTAACTGAGAAGCACCAAATACTTAAACAGTTTTCTAATGGAAAGTCTTCAAGAACTCCAGTACCAAAACCGTACCCCTTCATTCTCCGGAGCCCCATGTATGACCGGTTGTGGAGGCCTATTGGACTGACGTCAAATCAAGTTGATTGTCCGTGGCTAGTTAGTTACACTCAGGATTACGTCTAAGCACTGCTTCATTACTACCAAACACTACATGTTCAAATACTTCCATATCCTTGTAGTAGTGCTGATTCCTGACATTTTATTTCGTATTTTAATGAGCACTTCCTTGACATAGTGTATTTAACCAATTGACTACAACGGGATCTCACTTGAAGACATACTTACTTGATGCTTGAATGACCCATCCTCACTGGTTGTTCAGGCCTCAGCAAAATTTCCACTTTTTCAGGGTTTCTCTGGTTTAGCCACTGTAGTTGCCCGCAGTCTCTTGGACAACATGGCCAAAATCTGCCCCAGATCGTCGCCACCACAGACGATCGCCGTCGTAGATCAGGCGGAGATTTGCCACCATGCGAGTGGTTTGATACCACTACGGTGGTGGGTCCTGGTTTACTCTTAGCTAGGCTTCCTGATGGAAACGTCGTACTCCTTCTCAGCTTGGTATACCCTGCCGGTGATGAATCCACCGCTGTATATCGCAGCCCGACACACAGGAACACCTCCCAGCCGTGATGAGGCAGTAAACCGTTGGGAGGATATGAAGTCACAGGATATGAAAATAATGGCCACCTTCGAATTGAAGTCAGCATATCTCAGTTCTAAGTGGACTTCACTAGTTGGGATAAACATGATCGAATTATGTAGATTCCACCTATAAGGAGCAAGTTCACCTGTGATGAAGTTGTGATGAAGTTCTGGTTTTCTGTAGTCCACGAAACGTAGTTCTTCACGTTTTTTGCGTAAACGTTCCTATTTCGAACCTAAATGGAACTGGATGGATGGAATTCTCTTCAGCAGGTTGCAATACTATTCGCCAATGCATCGTTGCTTTCCACTAGTGTCGGCTTTGTGTGGGAAATTTTAAATATCTGAATTTCATTTTAAGTTCTTCAAAGATTTAAATTTTAAGCTAGCTTGGTCAGCACTCATCACGAGCATGGTGCTAGTTCGATTCCGCTCCGGGTCAACCAAGCCTCTCATCATTCCGTGGTAGGGAAATTGGTACCGGACTTCTCTGGGAAAAAATCACTCTGCAATCCAATTGGGAACTCTCGAGCCCTACTATTTCACCACTCCAGGGTGAATTGCTCGACTAGCATTCCACGACATTCAAGTTGAAATGGGAAATCCTCAAACACAGCAACCGAAACCACACATAAAAGTTGGAATGCCATCGAGGACAATGGTTGTGAGGAAACGAATAGAATGTGGAAAGTACTGGGATCCGCATAATAGACGTGAAGGCGGATCAAATAAAAATAAATAAAAGCAAACTTGAAGGCGAAGCATTTTACGAACTCATGCACACCATTAAGACGATGAGCATCGTCTCCTTCAAAAATCTGTGAAGTACCTATTTTACCCGCTGCTCCGTTTTCAGTACAGATTCCATCCATTGTCGAAAAACCAGCTTCCTGACGAATGTGTTAATCAGTGCCATAACTTTAGGGATGGGTAGCGTGAAAAGAGCGGCGAAAATGGCGCGGAGGATAAGGACTATTAAACCGACGGACAGTAGAATGTGGGTATTTCCTAGTGCCGTATGAGACTTGTCGACAATTTCTCTTATGTATTTCTCATTTACTGTCGCTACTGCTTTTTTACATACGAGTTTTCAGAAAGGAAGAAAACAGAGTGATTCGTAAGAAAAAAGAAGACGAACATGAACTAAAAATTAAGGAGGCGTAAGTCTTAAATGAGATTTATATGTTTTGTCATATTACTTAATCCTTATACTTTTAGGCCAAAAATTTCATCAGCAATGTTCTTAAAATATAACAACCAACTAGGCCCCCCATTCCATGTTCTCGTGGATACCAACTTTGTGAATTTTGCTGTAAAAAATAGGATAGACGTAATTCAAGGATTTCGGGACTGTCTTTACGCTCACAGTACGATTTTTATCGTTTTCTATTGTTAGGTGTTCACCGTCGATGTTTTCATTTCAGCGATTCCTTATGTAACGGATTGTGTCATGGGAGAACTCGAAAAAGCCGGTCGTCGGTTCAAGATTGCGCTGAAAGTGATAAAGGACACTAGGTTCCAGCGTTTGAAGTGCGATCATAGAGGGATATACGCGGACGACTGCCTTGTTCAACGGGTTACTCAGGTAAGGACCGCTTCTGAATTCATTCCACTTCATTTTCTTCGTCCGGTTACTTGTTACTCAAAGTTTTTCACTTTCTTCGTAAGTTGAAGGATTAAAGGTGTGTTACTTACTGGGATACTGGGACGGCTGTGCAGGTCCTAACATAATCTCCGTTATTCCGAGTTTGCTGGTTTAGTCACTGTGGTTCCTTAGAGTCCCGAGGTCAGCCAAGCCAAAGTCTACCCCGGGTCGTCACCACCCTAGGCAGTCGCCGTCTATGTGGAGCGGGGGGAGATTTGCCACCATGCGACTTTGATACCAGGACGGTGGTGGATCCTCGTAATGATTTAGTCTTAGCTGGGTTTCCTAATGGAAACGCCAGTCTCCTTCTCAGCTTGGGAGACCTCACCGTGGAGACGAATTCCCACGCTGTACATCGCAGTCCGACACCCAGGAACACCCAGCCACAATGAGGCGGTAATCCGTTGGGATGTGAAGGTGTGGAGCACTTGGACATGTCAAGAACAAAATCAAATAAACAGGCAGAATTTTGTTTAAGAGTACGGAATGGTGTTTGCTAATGTATCGGTTATGCTAGCAGCTTCTGTTATTCTTCAGAAGTTTAAAGGAAAAGTTGAATTCACTTACCAATTTTCTGGAAGTTCTGATTCTTAACACATTAGTTTAAAGTGGCACTGTATAAGGATTATGTTATTGACATTACGATTTCAATTAGTTATCCAATACTCATAGTATATAAGTGGCGCGTATAGCACAGTGGTAGGAGCCCTGCAATACACATAGGACCGATCACCGCGCCCAAGACTCACCAAGCCTTTCATGCTTCCAGAGTTAACAAATTGGAACCAGACTTCTGTTTGAGGATAACCGCTTTTGCTCGATCCATCAATAGGCCACTGCGATTCATTGTAAGGGCTGGTATGCATTCAATTTCTTCCAATCATTCTTAATGAAACCGAATGCATGGCGCATCCTTCAGGGATTGATCGACGCCGAGAGCTTTATCCTTTTATGTGAAATTCTAAAGTTACTCTTGAAATATGCATGCGAAATGTGGTAGCATTACACCAAACAAATGAATATGTTCTCTACCTGAGCAAATGTCTCTCAGTCGACCCAGTTGACCTGATCACATGTGTTCGAGAAATCGCACGTGACCAAACAGTGTTCCGAAAGCAAGTCACATTCATTCAGTTCCTCTCCACTACCGCAGTCTATTTGGACATTTCGTTAGGTTTTTCTTGTTGAGATGAAATTGTTTTGACCAGAAATACCGTTTGGACAGGTAGAACTCCTTGGGGATACGCAGATTTAAACATTCCATTCCGTATGAGTAAGTATTTTTACTTCTCCACGGTATTTGGTGATGCTTCGTTAAGATTTTTATTTTTGGGACATATTGACGCAAACTTCACATATGTGATTAGAGTTTGAAAGCATTCATGACTTACTTCTCAAAATTATGCTCCTTTTTCCAAATTTAGCAAATAAAAGGGAATTCGTTGAGGGCAACGATTGTAGTTGGGGACAATTTCCTGTGTCAATTTTACCGTGCTCTTATTTTGCTTTGTTTATTTTGCACATGCTAACAAACGATAGAGCTCGTGATGTCACACAGATGCGTGCCGCAACAAATGCTTCGATTTCCTTAGCTCACGGAGGGAAACGGTAGTGGAAGTGAAATGTTCTTTGTATGTCAAGTGGTTTAACTGTAATGTCATAGAAAGACATTAGGTTATTCGGCATCAAATGTCCATTTCTGAACGATTAGGTGACGATGTTGTCGTTTTTTGAAATCGAACTTGGGCAATCGAGCAGACAACTATCGCAATCGTTGCACTTTTGTGGACGTTGTGCGTTCTCATTCACACATCCAGTTTGTGGTATAGTTTCGATCTCTAGAAGAAATAAAATAATCAAGGACTGTAACCACTCCTATTTATCTGACAAATGTATTCGAACGAAAGCAATTGTTCGGATGGTTGAAAAAGAGGTAATCCACTTCTGAGTGATTTGCTCATTAATCGTAATGAGTGAGGCAGATTTTCATGCTCCAGTTCCAGCTTCAGCTTTAAGCACCAATTTTGAGATATTAAGAGTCATGTTGTAATGCCTCTCAACGGTTCACCACCTCATCATGGCTGAGAGGTGTTGCTGGGTGTCGGGCTGCGCTGTGCACCTGGGGGGTCATCCACCCGGAAGGGTCTGTCATGCTAAGAAGGAGACCAGCATTTCTATCAGGAAGCCCAGCTAAGAGTAAACTAGTACCAGGACCTACCACTCTCCTGGTGTCAAACTAGTCGCATTGTGGCAAATCTCCGTCTGATCCACAACGGCGGCGAACGCCTGTGGTGTTGATGACCTGGAGCACGCTTTGGCTAGGCTGACCTCGGGACTTCAGGGAAACGCAATGGTTAAACTAGCAAAACTCCGAAAAATGGAGATTATGCGGTGGTCCACACAACCAGTGAAGACGGGCCGTCCAAATAACCAAGTAGGTATCTATTTAGTAATGCACTAGAGAATCGAACACTTCTAACTCACTAACTGTATTTTTTATGACTCTACAATGACTGATGAAGTTGTAACAGACGGGTTTTTTTTAAACGTAGATTACCGAAATGTGTGGGTTTTGAATGTAAGTTGTTTCGATGATCCGTACTTGTAAAATTTCGTGCGCAGTGTTATTGGCAGTCAAATGTAATGTTTTTAGTCGTATGTCATAATGCGTTCGAGAATTGGATAGTTCTTATTGCATAGAAGAAACGCAAACTAGACTTCGTAACAGTGGTCATTTTACCATTTGTCCAGTTCATATGAAACCTGTTTGTCATGTGAACAATTTTTTTGTTTCACTGTTGCACAACTTGCGCTAGAAATATGGAGGTCATTGTTCGGTCCCCATACCGTCGTCTACGGACAAACTCCAATTGTCTAATATATATAAGTGGTCCCTCCCAACGGTTTACCACCTCATCGTGGGTGGGAGGTGTTCCTGAGTACTGGGCTGCGATGTACAACTACTGGGGGTTTATCCCCCTCTTCCCTGCAGGGCCTCCTGATCTGAGAGGGAGGCTGGCGTTTCGATCAGGATCGCCAGCTCAATGTAAACAAATAGTAGGATCCATCACCGTCCTGTTACCAAACTAGTCGCATGCTGGCAAATCCCATTCTGATCCACAAGGTGCGACCGCCTATGATGATGGTGGCAACCTGGACGACTTTAGGCTGGCTGCCCTCGGGACTCCAGGGAACCACAATAACTAAATCAGCTGATCTTCGAAAAAATGGGAATCATTCTGGGACCCGCACAACCAGTGAGTATGGGCTGTCCAAATATCCAAGTATACAAAAGGTCGTAAATCGCATGACAAATTAGTCCTCTTGGTAATTCTCTTAGCTGTGAAGCCTTCCCTCCATCACAGAAATTTGAAATCAGTTTTGACCTTATAAAGAAAGGGTTCGATTTGCTACTTTATTAACTTTTTATTCCAAAAGCATAATTTCCACACAAGTGAACATGAAGCAGAACGTTATCATAAAGGTGTAGTGCAAAGTGTAATTGGAAGTTTGAAGTTACACATTCAGGATATTTTGAATGAGAAATTGCGGTGAAGTAGAGAACATCTGAATCCTTCATATCGCAGTTGAACATTTTACACTGAGTAACCTATTATTTGAAAGACTGGTAAGAAAGCTGTTTCTAATTATGAGTGATTACCAATTTAACACTGCGTAGGTAACCTGTAAGTTTTTAATTTGCTGAAGTTAATGTGGATTGAGAAGAGTCAGAAACTTAACCTTAGTTGATGAATTAGGATTATATGCAAATTCACCCTTCTTGTTATAGAAGCAGGTTTTTTGTTCTCCCGCCTGAAACATGGATATTAAATACAAGCAGATGGTATGCAATAGCTCCTTGTGCTTAAAAAAGAAGAATTAAGAGAACGGATGTTGATATGATTTGCAAAACATGAAGATTGATAAGCAAAATAAGAGCGGCGTCTTTGATAGATACTCTTATTCAAGGGCGCGTGTCGCGCAGTGTTCGGAGGTGCCCTGCGTTACACATTAGATTAACACATCGCCCATGCCTCACGAAGCATTCCATCCCTCCGAGGGTGGCAAATTGGTACCAGACTTGTCTGGGAGGATAGCAGCACTGGCTCGGTACATCGGTAGGCCACTGCAAGTCATTGTAAAGGCCAGACATGCATTTAATCATCTCAAAACGATGCTTAGTGACGTCGAATGCATGGTGTATCCCTCAGGGTTTGATCAACGCTGAGGGTTTCATCCTTTTTTTAGCTTTAACGATCACTTAGGTAGTCGGTGGAATCAGTTCATTCAACATATTTTCCAAGTACTGTATTTCTCTTTCATGCGGTTCTGAAATAAATTTTTCAGCACAAGTGTTATATCGTGGCAACGTGTGATCGAGACCTAAAACGGAGAATACGGAAGATTCCCGGTGTCCCGATTATGTATATTCTTGGGCATCGATTCTCAATTGAGCGAATGCCGGATGCTTACGGTGCTCCGAAAAATTGATTTCTCACCTTGAACTGTGCTCGTTGAATTGTTCATTTGTGAAATTTTACCCACCTTGCATCTTCTCCTCATGCATAAAGCCCTAGTCGGTAGACTTTTGTGGCTAGGAAGGAGTGTAAGATGAAGACTATTGGCTTCGCTGATGTGATGAGATCCAGCTCCTGAAAGAATTGTTGACTGTTGTCCGTTACGTTTGATACAATATTTATATCGGATCTGCCTATAAAAATTGTCGCATGTGATGATTACACCAGAATATATCTGTACGTTTCCCTTTAGTTGGTTATTTCTCACAAGAAATGAGTACTTTACTTGCTCGCCATTAGGAGGACCGAAGTCAATCCATAGGAATCGCCCGCCGTCATCTCCTGTCGCTCGAATAGATTCGAACGAATAGTGCCATAATACCTAGGTAGGTTAGTTCTATTTTAATATTTCTACCTATTCTAGTTTTTTTTCTTGTCAGTATAGTTTCATTACCTCCCGATTTTGTCTGGATAGCGAAATTCCAGTGTCCAAGTTGACCACTAGTTCACATTTTTCTCCTCGCCAGTTGCAAGGTGAAGTCACCTGAGTAATTTTTGACTCTTATGTTGTTGGATGCACCGGTATTATAGTTTTTACTTTCTTAACATTTCTAGTGTGTTAGACGCAGTGAGGCTTCTTGTTAGGGTTTCTTTCCTGGAATAGAAGTTGAATCACAAATTCACTATTCTTGATTGGTTTTTTCATTGCATCTTCAATTCCTACTTGGATGAAGCTTCATTTTTGTGTTCATAGTTTGTCGAAAAGTTACCTGCGATATCTCTGAGCATGCCTCATATGTTCCTAACACAATCGTGCGAACCCATTGGGCAAGATCTGCATGCGTTTCCACTCGTAAAATATGAGTTCGTACTCCATTCTGAGTTCCGGTGCGAATTTGGAGAGAAATGACATCAGATAATCCTGTGAGTTGTTGCTGATTGTTCAAACAACAATGTTTGCTTTAAATAGAAACAACATTTGAGAGGATACTGGGTGGATACAATACGGAACTTCTTTTCTTACTTACTTGGATACTTGGACGGCCCGTCTTCACTGGTTGGATCCCAGCATAATCTCCACTTTTGTAGTTTTGCTGGTTTAGCCATTGTGTTTCACCGAGAGGCTGAGTTCAGCTTGGCCAAGGTCTGCCTTAGGTCGTCACCACCACAGGCAGTTGCCACCCTTGTGGATCAGAGGGAGATTTGCCACCATGCGACTGGTTTGATACCAGGACGGTGGTCGATCTTGATACTGGTTTACTGTTAGCTAGACTTCCTGATGAGTGGTCTTGATATTGATAACAGATCGAATTTGGAACACGGTGCTGCCAGCTAGTAAACAACTGGAGCTTTTGCACGAACACAGGATTTCATGGCGGAATCAGTGTTGATACTCACCCTTCATCACTGGTGCTGTTCTCGACGTGGTCTGCACAACTCTCGTAGCAACAAGTGGCCGGGTGACCCGCGGTTCCGCCCATTCGGTTTTTAGCTGAGGGACTGCATCGTAGAATAACAGTTCGTTTTGTGTAAGTGTCAGAAATTTCGGCTTCCACATGATTATACCGTCTTCGTTGATCTGAAATTGGAATTCAGCAGCTTGGTTGCTTCTGTTTCTAAAATATCGTTGATCTTCTTCTTCGTTAGTGCTCATATTAGCATCTGTCATACGAATGAGAACCAATGCATGCTTTTGCAAATGCGACTACAATTAGCAGATTACCACACTTTATCCTTATTCAGTTCGTGATTCTTGTAAATGGTGTTCTTGAGACATTACATTTGTTTAATGTTGCTAATGTGCTTGTGAAATAAAAGAAGGTGGAAGTTTCCAAGCACAGGATTGTTTCTTTTTTTGGCAGCTTTTTAAACATTTCAACTGAAGTCTATAGGCAAATCGTAAATTAACAAACCCATAAAAGAAAGAGGAAGGAATAAGCCCTATCGTCACCGTAGTCAACGTAATTAGTTTTGAATTGGTATCAAAGAAAGTTAATTCGTGTGTTTGTTCTTCTCAATCACGCTCTATGTTTTCTATGCTAAGACCGTCATTTCTCCTACGTAAAAAATTCCAATTCTAAGCCAGCACTGTTTCGCATAGTGGTTTACCACTGTTGCTGTAGTGAAACTGTGGAACTCTACCTGCTCTGAGACCCAACCCATTCTTCTGACTTGTGGGTGTCCTCCAAGCATGAGATTTACCTGAACCCTAGTTCATTTGGTTGCGTACAAACCAGTATAACCATTTACTTCAATAATTACTTACTTGAGCTAATGCCTGAGTTAGTAATGCATTCACACAGCCGTGAATCACTTCGAACCACGAATCTGCCTCCATTGAAGTGCTACACCGAAACGCCAGCGCATACCGTCCGGAAGGACTTCTCATCAACAACGAAGGAAATCCATCTGTGAGTTTAATCACTTCATAGCTTTTCTCTACTCACTTCAAAGATCCTTCCTTCTGCGTCTGCATCCACACCCGCACGAGCAACATACGCTAACTTCAAACCAATAGCTCGGATTTTGTCACGGTTATCGTCGTCCCATTCGATATTTTCCACAGCGTTATCACGTCTCACAAGTTCGTCGCGTTTGTATTGCACTAAAAGTGAGTACCTGTGAAATGAAGGCGTTAGGAAAAGAGTTCGGTGGATAATTTTTATAAAAGTTATAATGGTTAGTCTTATTGTGATTTCTGGAACGTCCATTACAATGCTTGTATAGCAAAAATAAAAGGGATACAGTTTTGGGGCAGAGTGAGTGCGTGTGTCATTACCAATTTGATCCGTGGCAGACGAAGAGATGCGGTGGAAGAACACTGCCGATATTACTACAATGATGCTGAGATATTTGCAAAACTCCAGACTGAAGGTGTCCGCGGTGGAGATCGAACACAGTATCATTCTTTCCGAGAGCCAACGCGTTCACCACCATACCATGTAGGTCCGTTGTTTCGCCTTTCTCTCGACTAGTTTCTATCCACTAGTGCCCATCAGCAGTCGGCCGTCAATGAAATTTGTCTGCGGAACACAAATCGGTACAGATCGAAAACTACCGACATTCTTTACAGTATATTTAGTGCCTGATTCTTCATGAAAAATGGTGATGTGGCTACAATGAATGCCTGTGGTTTTCATTCTGAGTGCGTATCTTAACGGTTACATAGCAGGCGTACGAAGTGTCATAAGCAGGCTTTGTTCTTTTATGAGTTCATTGTGCAGCTTACCGTATAGGTCAACAACACGTCCTGCTCTCTTTAGAGCTCTCACAGCGTCGTCATGTGTGGCATCAATTAAAGACTCGCCATTAACTGCGAGAATTGTATCTCCAACGAACAGTTCACCTGTGTGGTCTGCGGCCATTCCTTTGAAAATTTTGCTGTAAAGCATAAGCTGAAGAACTCCAACAATGAAACGACGTTTGACCACGTTGCCTGAACTAACCTGATAACAATTGGCATATTGTTATCGCGCCCTCCTTTTATGCTGATTCCGAGGCCATTGCCATCGTATTTGACAACGCGTACTGTTCGTTTCTCAGCGTCGAGTTCTTGGTTTTGGTCACTGTCGATTGTCTAAACATCAGGCTTCTATTTATTCGATTTCTTCACTGCAAATTTTCCCGTTGTTACTACGTCCAGTTTTGTTTAAAACTCTAGAAATAGACTGTGATTTCATTACAATGAAGCGCTACACTTTTTTGTCATGGATTTGGTGAGATATGGTTGCCGAAGCACTTCATGATAGGCAAATGTTCAATTTCGCATCATATACGATAACGTATAGTGAGTGCACTGATCAGTTCAGAAATGCAGAAAGACCAAGGAGATGTGTTCGATTTCAACAGCTCTCCGTTACAAGTGAGTTGAATTGCGTCGAAATAAATTATTAAGAACAGCTTTATGAATGTGGGCTGACCTGAAGCGTGATGGCGGTTGGATCGAGAGTGGTGTGCACTCGGTGCCATTCTCCATGAACGAGCACGTCGAGCAGACCACTTCGAATGGCAGCCATGGTGTTCAGCGCAGCTTTCTCATGCCTCCGCAGTGATTAGTCGTCAGCTCGGGGCGGTCGGCCGGCTGTCTGCAGTCATTGCCGGCTGTGCTCTGGCTTCTCATGCTTCTCTCGTGAGCTTCTGGACCTCAACTCTCCTTACACATGACGCCGCCATCCTCGTGATGAGGTTCTCTATGTATAACAATAGGTAATGAAAGAACATTCCGCTTGGTTTTAAAAGTCATGGGACGTAACTATTGCATTGGTGTAGATACAAATCGACGAAGTGTTTCGTGGCGATCGTTCTCAGTGACTTTTTTTGCTATACAGATAGGTAGTTTAGTTCCTAGATAATGTTCATACACAATTTTCCAATGTATTTCTTTCATTAAGGTAGATGTTTATTTCTTCGTATCCTAGCTTAGAACCATTGCTTTATCTTATACGAATGGTGTAGTGTAATACAGTAATCGTTGAAAAGGCTTAAATGGTATATTTTCTTGAGATATTTCGTAAGACTATTGATGTATGAGGTTGTGGGTACGTTAAAAATTGAGGAGAACAAAAACCTATGGAGAAAAAAAGAAAAAAGAAGCCTTCCTCCGAATGTTTCTGACGGAACGACCGGAATTAGCAATTGCAGACTTTTTAAATTTAATCTCTAGTATTTATTACTTTAACTGCTCTATCGATCTTTCATGAAAGCCACAACGTCGTTCTCATTTTTTAATTCTGAATTCTCATTGAGAACATCATCTATAAAGAATGACGGATGTTCTCAATCGCTTTCCATATTTGCACCTACATGCTACTTCTATTGAGTTTCTCATATTGTTCTATCCTTCAAATAATTCGTTCTATCATTGTTTGATGAACTTTTCGTGTAAATGTCGCTTCTCGTCGATTACTTCTTTTGAGGTACCTTTCGCGTTTAGCGTAACACGAATAACCTGAAAGCCGTCTTTTGCTGGTGTACTTTCACACACTGAATGTGTTTTATCACAATATATTAACTGGGAAAAAAAGACTTTAGAACACCTCACGTCTATCGAAACACGCATTCAATCGGCTGTTTTTATAAAAACTATCCTACGGTTAAAGGCGCATGTGTCGCAGTGGTCGGAAGCGCCCTGTAATACACATGGGGTCAATTCACGCGCCCCTGGTCCACCAAGCCCTCCATCGCTCCGGGGTCGGCAAATTAGTACCAGACTTGTCTGGGAGGGTAGCAGGACTTGCTCGATACAGCGGTAGACTACCGCGAATCATTGTAAAGGCCAGGTATGCACTCAGTCATTTCAATTCGATGCTTAGCTTAATGAAGTCGGATGCATGTAGTATCTTTAAGGGATTGATCAACGCCGAGAGTTTTATTCCTTCTATCCTTTTATCCTTTGGTTTGCCGAATGTATTTTCGTGCGTCGAATGAGCTCTGTCAGAACATACTAACTGCTATAGACTCTAGCACCTGCTTTACTCATCACAATAAAACTAATTTTCTGGAACGATCACTCCACCCAATTTAGAGGACATACAACAGTCACCACCCTGTAGAAGTATTGTGTGGCTTTCCTATTCGCTTAGGACTTACTTTTTCATTTCTTTCACTACAGTTTCAAGGACTCTATCTGAATGTGCAAGCTTGAGCTTAGCGGTAGTGCGCAATTACGCAAATCTCGAGTGGCACAACGAGCTCCACCTGCACTATCTTTGCCATAACTCCTTAAACTGCATCATCAAAGCTTCTGTTAGGACTTAAATAGGTGTTGTTTTTTTATTAGTGTAGTAAACTATTTTCAAACTACGCAGCGGTAGGTTTTGTATAAATGCTTGCTTGGATACGCGCCACCATCGATTTTCACGAACGTCTTTCACTGTTTTTGTCTTCTGTCGCCGATATGTGCTTCCTTTACAATTCTTTCAGTACATGTAGAATATGTTTTCGATGTCGAATTAAACGTTTTCTCTATTTACAGCTGTTTATATTCCTTGCTACTCATCATTCCTAGGAAACAGCGAGTAGTTTGATTTAGAAAAGGTTATACTCTTCACTACGCTCCAAACTGTTGAGTTCCTCTTCCTGTACTGCCTGAATGAAAACACATTAATTTTTAGACTGAAACGTTTAAACTGATCTACCAGTGGTTGTCTCGGTTTTATGGAGGTCTCAGGATTTCCGCATCAGGTCTGTTCACATTTATATGAACCGAAACTTTATTTATGAAATGTTGGTCATGTATGGACTATTTCATTCTTTATTTTATACGACCCGACATAACTTATTGTCCAATTTGCAGAACTTCTTGCATTTGAATTTTTTTGCATTTATACAACGAGAAGTTCGGATATGCGTGGGGTTCGGCTACTTTTTGTAGATTTTCGCTTTCCCTAGGAATAACGTGGAATGCTCATCCAAGACAAGTCTCATACAAATTCCCAACACTGGAGGAATATAGGGCTTGCTTGACCGTGCACGAGGCTCAACCGGGGTCTTCCTCTTACTTAAAAGCCTCGCTACCACAGAGCTAACGTACATCTGGTAATGTAAGTTTTTAACACTCTAAAGTTGAGAAGTCGTTTCCGTCCTTTCTTTTCGATTTTGGACCAAACTGAAAAGGGAAGTATTACATGTGCTCGTTTCATGCGTGTTTGAAATCGATTCTTGTACCCTCCTTAACCCTTTCGAAGCTGGTTTTTCGATGAATAGCGAGCTTTCCTTGATCACTACAGTGTTTCATAAGTCTAGATCTTTGTAGTTTTATAGTACACTCTGTTGCTCTGTTATTGCGCTGATCGCATATGTAGTTTTTACGTAGTGTCCTTTTAAATTCAGATATGTGTAGAATTAGATTTTTGAGAAAGTTGATAACGAAATTTAAGTTTTTAAAATTTTCTACGGGAGAGCGCTAGGCACGAATATAAACAAAGGGCTGGAGAGCATGATCGTGTCATGCTGGACGAGATTCCGCTTGTTCATTTGCTTTCGTTTTTGAAATGCGAGATTTGAGACGATAAAGTGCAAGAGATATGTCTTGGGCTCCAAAAATCGTAAATCCATGGTACAGCAGGAAGACTTTCGTTTCGTAGACAAAGATTTTTCGGTTTTAAGGTTTTTCTTGGATTGAATAAAACTCGCTGGGAGCTGCGATAAGTCACTTCAACGTTGAAAGCAGTAATTATTTTTGCGTCATATGACTTCTTTTGAGCTCACATCGTCGCGTAAAGGCTAAAGTTTCTTCCATAGTCTTAGCGAAGTATTCATGGAATTCGGAACGTCTTATGAAGGAGAAGTGCAGCTAGAGATAAAACTATGTTTGTAATTACAATACTTGTTCAGAAACCTATGCCCGATTTTGAATAACTTCTTGTTTACTACCGTAGAAAGACAAGCGGCAATCTATGATGAGAAATTGAAAACACTTTGTGCCTCCATATCTGGGACTTGGGGAGAACCTGCATGGACAGCGTGAATGTGTCTTTAGTACCCTGCTTACTGGTATTTGCAGTGCTATCGCTCCACGGTGAACATAGATTTGTAGCGTGATTCATATTCGTAAGCAGAAATTGTCAGCAAATATAACCATAGTAAAGCCGAGATATTTGCAAAATTTGGACCCCAGTCCAGCTTCGAACCTTTGATTACCTTTTCCAAGGGCTCAGGTTTTACGCTGTAGGGGCGCATGTGGCCCAGTGGTTGGAGGCGCCACTGCGACACACACGTGTAGTCGATCCTCGCGGCCATGGCCCACTAAGCCTTCCATCTCTCCGCGGTCGGAAAATTAGTGCCAAACTTGTCAAGGAGGATAGCAGCACTGGCTCGATACATCGGTAGGCCACCGCGAGTCATTGTAAAGGCCAGATATGCGTTCAATCACCTCCAATTATACTTAGTGAAGTCGAATGCATGGCGGATCCCTCAGGGATTCATCAACGCCGAGAGCTTTATCCTTTTATCCAGATTCTACCCAAGATGCCACTGAGGCCCTTACTTTGTCCTTCTCTCGGCGAGTTTTTTACCCTAACGTTGCCATCAGCAATCACCCTTCACTGAGATTGTGGAACAGGACATCGTATCCTGCTATAAAAAGTAATAAGCAGTAAATAAAGGCTAAACTGTGATTTCGATTACAGCTTCAGTTTAAGTGGGTCCAATACTGATTTGTGCTCCACAGATCATGCTAACGGGTGATTGCTGATAGCAACACTAGAGTAAAAGGCTGGTTGGGGGAAAAACAAAGTAAGGGCTCGCTGGTGCAATGGGTAGATCGTGAGCACCTGGAAAGGGTTATCGTGTTTTCGGAGCCCACTTGAGGTTACAAGTTTTTCAAATATCTCATCGTCATTGCGGTTGTATTTCATATAATACCCTGGCGTGAAGAAAAGAATACTATCCAGTAAGCACGAGGTGCTATTTTATTTCTTTATTTACGCACAAGCTGACGTTTCAGCAGATTTCGCCTTCCTCAGAGCCGCTTTCTATGAGTCTTCCACTGAGTATGTCGCGATTCGCGTGAAGACCGACCGCACCAAATTCATTCCATGTGAATCGCGACATACTCAGTGGAAGACTCATAGAAAGCGGCTCTGAAGAAGGCGAAATCTGCCGAAACGTCAGCTTGTGCGTAAATAAAGAAATAAAATAGCACCTCGTGCTTGCTGAACAGAAGTAGAAAGATATGTTCAATCAATGCCGAGGTTAATAGAAAGTCGGACTTGGGAGTTACTATGCAGTAAATACGATGTCGCGAAATGTTGGTAGTGTTATTCTTACCGTCCATCTATACATTATGTTGCCGCTTAGAAGATCTCCATCTAACCGCTTACCATCTCCAATCGATAACTTACTAGTATACATCGACGTGGAATGTGAATGAACCGTTTTATGTCAATGTAGCAAGTTGCTTGGAAAAGAATTCAATTTTTCGCTTCAAATTTTACGCTTCGTTTTCAAAAACATTGATGACGACTCCTAATTTTCGCCGTGAACAGTACGCGTTGTCTTTGGATGACTCAGAAGCATAGCGTGTGAAGTTTACCTCAAAACATTGTGGAATCTATTGATTCAGTAATAGTCTATGTTGATCTGTCAGTGCACTAAACAATTGTAGCGACACCTAGACAAGCCAACTCGTCCAGTGATTTTTTTTTCTCTGAATGTTTTGTATAAAAAGTACTCCAAGAAAGAACTTCTGAGGTAAAAGAAACGTTCGAAAAGAGAATGAGTCATATTTCCTTTCATAATCGGCTTTTGTTTTATGTACAGAAATGAAACTCGACGGTTTTTTTGCAGGTTCAAAGATGATCTATTCATATACTCACATTGTTGCATTCATATATAAGCACAAATTGATGAGTGTAGCACAATGGTAAGAGGTGTCCTGCAGTATACATGGTCGTTGGTTCAATCCTACGTCTGGTCTAACCAAATCTATATATGTATATATTTGTAAAGATAGAGCATATATATATATATGTATATATGTACAATCATGTACATATTCTTTTTTACATGAACCGTCTTCACGTCTACTGTACGGATCCCAACATTTCTCACATTCGATTCGTTTCCTCTCATCCACCATCCACGATGATCTTCCAACTTTTACGTTTGGCTTCGGATACTATTTGAGGATTTTCATTTTATCTTGAATGGCGTAGAATGCTTATCGACTTGATTCTCCCAGGAGTCCTGGGATAGCGGGGCTGGAGCGTTCCCAATTGAATTGCAGAGTTATTTTTTTGCGGATAATTCCGATACCAATTTCCTGACCCCGGAGGGATGAGGGGCTTGGTTAGTCTGAAGCGAATAGAACTAGCACCGTGCTTCCGATGGCCGACACCACTACCACTGTGCTATCCGCCCTACATATAAATATACATATATAAATCTTTAACAATCACGGGACGATGCATAATTTCATATCGTTGCATGTTTGCTGATTTTTAACAGCAAACTCTACCTTTTTGATAATGACCCGTCACTGAACTGAATTAGAACTGAATTAGAAATTAGAACTGAAAACGTTCAATTACCAGCGAAATTATCCATTAGCGGTTAGCCCTAAAATGATTTTATTAGAATTATCACGTGTGAAGAATAACTTTCCTTGGACCGTGGCCACTAGAACATCTGTATTGGATGAACTATGATTAATTGCAAGAAGTATACGAAAAAATTGGTTTGCGAAATAAACCGTAGAAAAGAATTTTACTTCAATATGAGGTCATTTCGACCACAGTATCCCCTCTTAGCACTCCTGTAGATGCATCTTCGCTGTTTGAAGGTTAGTTCTTATTTTTTTCCCACTTAATTTTTAGTTACGTTTTAGGTTGGTGGCCATTTTGGGCTACTGCAATGTACTGGGCACGTTGCGAAGCCAATGAACACAAGAGAACTAGCCTTTTATGAGCTAATGGACGATAATTTACGACAATTTGTACCGGACTATTGCGGTTTGTTCTTTGTTTTAATTTTTTCCACTTTTTTTTCATTAATGAAAGAGACTCAAGGTCGTGTTCGTGTGTGCGCAACCGTAGAAGATGATGGCGACTTACGGTTGATTGCCGAACCAATAGTAGAGTGTCACCCGAGGTTAAAGAAGTCTGGATCAGTTCGGTTTCGTTTGGGAGAATCCAGAAGAGTTGAATTGATAACGGATCGTGTGCCTCACAATTACTGGGCTGCTGATTGTCAAAGCTTGGTATGTAGTTTTTCATAAGAATTCACATTATTCCATCTTTCTTCATTCGGAGTTATTTTATGGTAATTCAGGTTGTTCATAAGTTGCTTGAAGGTTCGTATTCGTGGTTTATCCTTCTGAACAACATCGTGGCGACATTCTCCCTTCCGTGCGTCCTCGATCTTAAGATAGGCACGAGGTCGGTGTCAGTAAAGTGTATTTTAACAATGAAAGGACGAGAGCTTAATATTCCATTAGGCAACATGGAGACGATGCTTCTGAGTCTAAACGCCGTAGACAATTGAGGAAGTGCCGCGAGTCAACCAGTGCTACGTTAGGAGTGAGGATGGTCGGAATGCAGCTGTATGAATCTAGAACAAAAGTCTGTTTATTAGTCATCTTCGCTGCCTACTTCTGCTGTATATCTTTCGTATTTACGATGAAGTGGTTTATTTTCGTACTGTTTGTTAATTGATAAAAGTTGCAGTCGTATACCTTCGTTGATAAACAAGAAGGTCGACGGATGGACGCAAGTGAGTTCCGATCACATCTGCAAAAATTTGTTCGCTACTGTGGTATTGGCAGAGCAGCTCGCCTTAGACATAAGTGGGTTTATTTGTTTGTCATTTTGTTGCATTTTTTAGTTTCTATTTTCATTTCCTCTGTGTTTTATGTAAGCAAAAATTTTGGTTCATAATCCATTACTGGATGTTCCTTTTTGACCCTTACGAATAGTTTTTAATGCCGGTAATTTTTTACAGTTTTGAACCCATCCTTCTTACCAGACAAATCTTTTTTTCTATAAACACTTTGTCTCTTTTTAGCTTCGAATGATGTAGTGTTAATAAATAGAAGGTTCTAAAATATGTTCGACGTTTTTAGTTTCCTGTGAAAAACTGGTGTATAAGCAAAATCTTGTTTACTTTTTAAATTACTGTTTTATCACGTATTACATATTTTACCATCCTCCAATGATCTCAATAACATAAACGTGGAGGTCCAGATATAGATAGTGAGGTACCTAATTGGATACTTGGACAGCCCGTCCTCTTTGGTTATGCGGGCCCCAGCATAATCTCCACTTTTCAGAGGTTTGCAGGTTAAGCTGTTGTGTTTTCCTGGAGTCCCGAGGTCAGCGTAGTCCACCTCAGGTCGTCATAGTGAAATACATAACATTTAAAACATGAATTCTTGATGAAAATAACGATGAAGCAAAAAGGCTTGTTGGCTTTCGGGTTTTGTTTCATTGTTAGTACTATAAATGAGGTTTTTCACATAATTCGTGTGACACTTCGTTATCTTGTTTTCGCTAGCACCAAAATTTGCACCATTATCCTCTTTGCAACATTCGAAGTTATGTAAGCGACGGGCCGAAAATTTCCTCATTGTGCAATAAGTATTTATGGCGGTAAGGACAAGATGTACTATAACATGCGTAATACATCGTGACTTATAAAGAAGCTTTCATTGTTGGAACAGGCAGACCGCTTTACAGGAACTGAAAATGTTTTTTGACACATAGGGTCCGACATTCCGGCAACCGCGAACTAACGTCCGAACTTGCAAACCAATGCAGAGAGGCGATAAAAGAAGATCTTAGAGAGCGAAGAGCAACAGTAATGGCCGAAGCTGGAGGGGCTGGTAAAACCATTCGCAAAGCCCACCGAAGCTTTGGCAATTACAAGACCAAGATGGTTCCAGCCCGACGTATAGACGGAACAGTTACAGCGTCAAGAAAGGCAGTGGAGAAAATCATTCACGAATACTACTCGGATCTCTTCGATAGCCTCGTCCACCTTTCGTAATGTGAAATAAAGGAGGATGGATATGTTATACCTCCGGTTCTCCCTTCCGAAATCCGACATACTATTTCGTCGGTGAAAATTCGAACAGCACCAGGTCCGGACAGGGTAAGACCAGAGCACCTGAAGGACCTTCCGCTAGTCCTCGTAAACACACTGGCTCGGCTCTTTACACGTTACCTGTCCGAATGCAAGGTTCCTACTCAGTGAAAGACCAGCAAGATCGTATTATTGTTCAAGAAGGGTGACCTACACGATATCGGCAACTATCGCCCAGTCTGCTTGCTGTTTGTCGTCTACAAACTTTTCACTCGAGTCATCGTAAACAGGATTGACAGAACACTAGACGAAGGGCAGCCACTTGAGCAAGCAGGGTTCCGAAAAGGATTTAGTACGGTGGACCACATCCACACGGTCACACGGCTCATTGAAGTATCACGAGAGCACAAAAGTCCGCTCTGTCTCACTTTCATCGATTTACAGAAGGCCTTTGATTCAGTTGAGATGGAAGCAGTCTTGGAAGCCCTTGATAGTTCCTACTCAGTGCATAAAGATTCTTCGTGAGCTGTACAAAAATTTCACAACTAAGATTTCACCATTCTACAACAACGTTAACATTGAAGTCAAAAGAGGGGTTAGGCAAGGCGATACCATCTCGCCAAAATTATTTACCGCCACCCTCCAGAACGTCATGCGAATGGGATAATATGGGAGTGGAAGTCGACGGTCGGCAGTTACACCATCTTCGCTTTGCTGATGACATTGTCCTTATAACAGCAAATATTAGGCAAGCGGAAAGTATGCTTGACCACTTTGATAAAGTTTGTGGAAGGATTGGTCTTCGACTAAATCTCACAAAAACGATGTTCATGAAGAACGGATTGGTTTCGCATGCCCCATTCACGCTCAACGGAACGAATATCTCCGAATGCTCCAGTTATATCTGTTTAGGTCGTGAAGTCAATATGATGAACGACCTAGCTCGAGACCTGAGCAGAAAAAGACAAGCGGCTTGGGGAGCCTTCAAGAGCATTGAGCCGACTCCGTGCCCACCTTTTCCACTCAACCGTACTTCCTACCCTAACGTATGCGTCAGAAACCTGGTAGCAGGACGAAAGGTCACTCAACGTTATCGAACGCGCAGTAGAAAGGACGATACTAGCAGTATCCCGTTCCACACAAGTAAGAGATGGGATCCGAAGCTCCGATCTGCGTCAACGATCAAAAATCAAACATGCCGTTTTGTACGCCAAACACTCGAAGATAAGGTGCGCCGGACACGTTATCCGTATTAATGACAACCAATGGACAAGAGCCGTTAGTGACTAGATTCCTCGGGATGTCAGACGTACTGCAGGAAGACCAACGACTCGACGAGTCCCTAGAGCGAGCAGAAAAATGGAAGATTTTCTGGCGCCCGCTCGAGTCGCTCGACGATCAACGGGACTACAGGTGATACCGATGACAGGGTCCGACATTAATTGAGATCTACTTATACATAAAATGATAGATTGGCCATTATGAATTAGCATGAACCCATTTTTTTACGACCATTCACTTTGTCCTACAAACGGTTTTTGCTGTACTTTCTGTATTGAGCGCATAATAGACTAGGTGTATTGATTTCCATTCATACATTGTGAAAATAATCTTCACTTTCGACTTTAGGAAAACATAGCTCAGCTCAACGTGACCATTATCGATGGAGAAAATGCAGTAGAATAAATAGACCTTTGCCACCTAGGTAAATGTCATATTCTACAACAAGAACATCATGACTTTCTGGCGCTTGAGAAGCGTTTTCTTCCGTTTTCCTCTGTTAAAGGTCGTATTTTGAAAACCCAAGTGATTCATCAGACGGCATTTCGTAGGACAACGCGATGGTTTCTTCCAATTTATCATTCTCTCCCGCTATTCTGTTGAAGTTTTTAGAAATGTAAACTTGTTGCCATTCATTTTAAATCTAATTTCAGAACAATTTTAGTGATAAAGGTTAGTTAGCGGAAATGTGAGAATAGTATACCCTTAACGTAGTACGTCAACGCTTCTTTTACAGATCTGTCAGGTCTGTCAACATTTGTCAACTCCTCAACCATTCTAGTTATCGAAAATTGTTGTTAGATATTAAATGAGCAGCATGATTCATTAGTAGGTATCAGTGTGCAGATGTCTTTATTGCCCCAGAAAGTCGTTTACAAGGTCCACTTAGTCGTAGCTCCATTTCTGGACTTGTCTGCGCCGATATACACTATGATCCTGCAACTCGAATGCCTTAACCCAGTATTTTGTGTATTTTCTTCTACATGCTTTGATGGAATGCAGCACGAAAGTCACATCAAGACCTGAGTTGTCGTATAGTCTATAGATTTCCTTCAACTTCTACTGAAACGCTGGTGTTTTGAAATTTCTATTCCACATTGCACCGGTCTTTGCCAGCAAAGTGGAGATGAGTTACGGGTTTAAAAATCTGTCTGTTGTTATAAGTTGGATCTCAAGAGGATGACGTGCTTAAGACGGACTCAATTCGTTTCAATATAGCAAAATGTCACTTTGTTTTCAATTAAACCCCTACGTTCCACTTGAGAATGCACTGCGCAACGTAACGGCTAACCGATTGGTGATATCTCAGTGAAGGAGATATGAGCTATATAAAAAGTTGGTTGTAGCTTCATTTGTATCTCTGTTATGGATTGTAATTGTCATGGTGATTGAGCGGTTGCTAAAAAAAGAGAAAAACGAAAAAAGCACAGAAATATGCTCTTTGTTTGTTCTAAAATAGGCTATTCATCGTGGTTCGATAGTGGAGTTTTTCTTTTGTCGCAAGCAGAACTGGAAAATGTTTCATAAACGTGAGTCGATATATAGCAGCAATGTTTGGAGGACACTTAAGAAACAAGAACTTGCAAAGTACTCTCAAAATGCATGGAAAAACAAACTTATCAAGCCGGAATTACAGCACAAGTGCACAAGGAATTAAGTAAGCTGAACCATCTAAGAAGATATTGATTGTTCAGATTCATTTCTTATCATACCAAATCCAATGGACAGTACATATCTGAAGCAAAGTGTGTAAAGTTCAAAGAGCAGATTGTTTGGGCTTTTTAGGAGACAATCCAATTGTTTTTTGGAAATTTGATGCTCTGAGGGCGCCACTGGGTAGAAAACTGGCTGAGAGAAACGCAAAGCGAAAGACTTAGGGGTGCAGTAGGTGGCATACAAACCTCAGGAAGAGGTAACCGTGGTTTGATCTAGCCTGCGAACAAGTTGTGCGAATATCTCAGCATCATTGTAGTTGTGTGGAATTAGTGGCTGTATTTGACGTTTTGTTTTAAAACGTCTAGTTCCAAGTCATTGAGTTTATACCATCCACCATTTTGAGGCTCAGAACTTTTTTCTATATTTTTATGTTATTTTTAAACTATATTAATCTGTATATATATTCTTACGAATCCCCGTTGTTGGACTGAGGTGGCTATCAGTTGCTATTGTTGTCGTCGTTGTGGTTCGATGGCTGACGTTTGAGCGGCTTCCCCTTCATCAGAGCCTGGGCGTATTTTATGTAACGATAGCTTTATAAAGAAAAACTAAAGCTCCCAGTGTTGATCAGTCCTTGAGGGATGCACCATGCATTCGACTTCATTAAGCATCGTTTGGAGGTAACTGAATGCATGTCTGGCCATTACAATGACTCGCTGTGGCCTACCGATGTATCGACCCAGTGCTGCTATCCTCTCAGACAAGTCTGATACCAACTTGCCGAACCCGGAGTGGTGGAAGGCTTGATGGGCCGGGGGGCGGGAGTCGATTCCAAGTGTGTGTTGTAGGGCGCCTTCGACCACTGCACCAGAAACGCCCTACAATAGCTTTATAACTTGGCAAGATAGCTAAAGTATTA